TGTAGCGCCTGAGTCTATATGAAGTTGATCTGGAGGATGCCGATGTAGTGTTAGCTTCAGTTCAACTTCATATCAACTCAGGCGCTACATGGTCTGACCAAATGACACATTGAAAAACACAGGAAGCAAAATTAAACAATAACCTTTCGACTTCTTTGCTCGTCTTCTCGCCGCCGTCTTCTGTGCCTAGATCATAAAACACCAGTGCATCATCATTATTGGTCCCCAGCAGCTCACTTCCGTTGTGGCTTTTTTTTATTTGCGTTCTTTTATTTTCACAGTAAGTCACTTTTTTTTCCATTGCCACATATTTTTTGTTTTGTTTTTTTGCGTTGTTAACTTCCTTTGTGGCTTTTATATCTGAACCATTTCTTTTTTTATTTGCAGCGCGCTTTTTCTTTTTTTTTTTTTTCTTTAGCATCAGTAACTTCCGTTGTGACTTCTTTTTTTTTTCCTTTTTTTTTTCCTTTTTAATTTGCAGCAGTGGTGGTTCTGGGCCACCATACTTTCCTTCCTAGACTTCTAATGTGCCAGAAGTATCTATAAAAAAATTTAATTGAATGTTATTTTATCTCGTTTTTCTCCAGTACGTTTTTTTTTTTTTTTTCAACTAACTTTACTTTGAAGTAGAAGATTACACACAGTAGCCTATAAAAGTGCAATCTTATAAATACCAATAAAATGCTCCTTTATCATGAACAATAACAAAATCGGAATACAAGCAACTTTTAAAACTTTTGAAACCAACATAAATCACACCATGATTTCTTGCTTATCTGGAAAAATATTGTAACAACCTCTGTATTGATACAACTCACAAATTGTTGCCCTCCATCAGATTTTGGTGTCTTTCATCACAATAACTTTTGAATCCTTTTTTATTCCTTTGCAAAAACCTTTGCACTACACTGCTATTTATGTTCCCGACAATAATTTTAACAATTTCCATCAATATCTTTGGATTCTCTCATAGTATCTTGAAATTCTTCAAAATAACTTTGTGATGTTTGCAATAATTTCTGTGTTACTGATCAGCATTGTTTACCCTACCTCACACTACTTCTGCATGATCTTGCAATGCATATTTGTCTCCCAAACAGTCTCTCCAGATGATGGCAGTATGGTAACCTAAAAATTGCTGTTGCTCTCACCCCTGAACACTTACTGTACTCAGGACAGCTGCAGTTTTTGATACAGTGACTGATCACAGATGAAATCGACAACACTCTGTAAATCACTTACTATTTAGAGATTTGAGAGTTGAAGTATCTGCAAAAGTTTACTTTTACTGAGTTTTATTGTGTGAATACCCATGTGTATAACTTCTCCATCTGTTACCAGAATATTCTCCATTTTTACCAGTGAGTTTCCAGATGGCTGATTTGAATTGCTACTTTGAAGCCCATTTTGTAAGCTTTTCAGTTTTGCATCTCATTTGCTGTATGTAATTATAAGCTAGTTGCTCAACAGGCCAGGGGGATACAGAGTTGGAATAATTTTTCACCACGGCTGAGGGGTCCTAAACCAAGGAAGGCACAAGTAATGAAAAGGGTTCTGGGGTCCCTCCCTTCAGAAATTTTGACCATCTAACACAGAATTCCTTGAGCTCTGGTGAATTTATGAAGTAGATCAATAATATTCTAAAAGAAGTACACAAAGAAAAAATGCATAATATTAAAAAAAAAGAAAGAAAGAAAAAACAGACTGCACTTTTTGTAAAAAATTTACGTTTTCACTCTCTAGTTTGCCTATCACATTAGAACTAAATAATTAAATATGAGTCAAAAAGTTAAGTTTACAAGTACAACTCTTTTTTTTTTTAAGTCTTTTTTGGTATATGAAACAAAACCAAAGAGATCTTGGACTACAACCAGACTAATATATATCACAGTTTAAATAGAATTGGTGCACCTTATTCCCCTCTATCCACCAGAAGAGCTTTTGAGAGGGCACCTCACTATGTTTTACCGGGTATCCAAGAAGCACTTTGTCACGTGAAACTACTGGAAAAGGGCTTTATGGGGGTATGCACTTTTTTACTCACTTTATGTTTTATTCGATGGAAAGGCATCCACTGGATGAGTATAAAAGAGCATTTTGGCATGTTTTAGCAATGGAAGAGTAACAAGAGGGCACTATGTGGTATGTTTCCCACAGGAGGGACATCTGTAATGTATTGGCCAGCAGAAAGACATACACATGCCCCTTTCAATGTTTTATCCACTAGATGGGAATCAAAAGTGTGCTAATCTAGGTGAAATGGTGAACTTAAATGAGTGGTTTAAAGTTTTTGTGGGTTTGTGCAGTATTATATGAGTAACAACGTCAGTTTTATTTAGTGTGGTCCTTTCAGTGTTATTTAAATAAATGTAGAAAATTGTATCAAACATAAATACGACGCTTTTTAATCGTGTCTTCGTGTAAAATTTTGTCCAAAATTGAACGGTACATCACACAAGACGTTTCCTGTGTTCGGCCCCTCTACTATGACGTGCGCATTTGGCCACGACTCTCGGATAAAAGAGAAAACAGACCGAGAAACAGCGTCAGCTGTTTTATGCAAGAGCATTCTCAAAAGTAACAACATTTAAAACTTGGACTGCTGGGAAATTTCATTACATGATGGAGAATTTTTCTGCTGTGTATTCATGGAAGTACCTCCGTTGCGCACACTGCACCTCGGTGCGTTTTGGAGAGGTTGGGCAACCTTTTTACGCGGATGAATTACTCGCATTTCCCATCACTCCAAGGCGCTTTAAAGCACAAAATCTGCGATTTATGCAAAAGACAAACACATGGAATGTGTTAGTGACATGTTTTATTATTTTGTGGCACCTTTCTGCCTCTTAAACTTCCGTTTGCTCCTTTGGCAAGCTTGATTTGAAAATTACGCACAGCCGTGATGTGGTTCTATCTTAGCAAAACCGCCAAAGTACATTAATTAACCTGCTCTGACATACACTGCTCGTATAATAAAGCACCATAAATGAATGACCACATTAACTACCCGGTAATAAATTGAAAAAAAGAAAGCCTTATTTGCCTTGTGTCCAGGTTGGCAAGGAGATGATGGTGTCCAAGAATGGCTGTCCCCATCCACCCTGGCTGATTGTACACAGGGAGGATTATTGTCCACTAACTCGTGGTTAATGTATAATTTGGGCCATATGGCATTTTAAAAGTTGAGCCTTTATTTCGGTGCCACTTCGATCAGTGTGGACACTACTAATGATATTCAATTAGTCATTAAACAGGCCAAAAGACGAGCTTTGTGTGCCTTTTCACATGGGCTAATATTTGCTCGTCAAATATTTCCCTTTGAAACGTTTACAGCGCATTTTTATCTGCAGGCTGCCCAAGGAACATCTGTGAGGGTCATTCTAGCCTCCCTCTTCTGGATAAACGAGGTCCCCCAATTGGCTCTTCCCTTGCGCCCATGCACGAGTCTATTTGTTCACGTTTTGAAAGAAATGTAATAAAGAGAGACCGGGTGATGGATTTATGATTTATCAAAAGCACTTCACCATATGGCAGTCGTCAATGGCGCAGATTTCCAAATGTTTGTTTTATGAAAGGAGGCCAGAGATCGCTTTAATCTGAGCCACTTAACCTGGGGAGAGGATGCTCCAGTCACGTGACCACATGTCTCTCATGAAGGATGAGAAACATACCAGTGTTGATCCCTCTAGTTTCTTTGAAAGATTGAATCTCTGGCTTTGTTGTAGAGGGATAAAACGCAATAAAGCAGAAAATTTACAGCCAAAACCCTGTTGTACTAAATATGGTATGCGTCTGAATGAGACTGGAGGCAGTCAGTGCGTAAAAGGAAAGAGGTTTGACGTCCCAAACTTGAGTAAGTCGATTGGCTTGTCAAAGCGATACAAAAATATGCTGACTGGAAACACAGATTGTAAAAATTGTAAAGCGATCAAGATTTTTAATGGTTTAGAAAAAAGAGATATTGTGTTGAAATAAGTGGTCGACCCGTTTTACTGCATATGCTTGTGCCAATATTAAGAGAGCTGTTTAGCTGATGGTTTAAACATGATGCCATCTCACTTTGTTGTTGTCTTGCAGAGTAATAATTTAAAAAAACGAGGAACAAAATTGCTGAATATTAATAAACATTTTTTTGATCATATTGGTGTTGGCAGAAAATATGACCACTAGGGATCCAGCCATCTGTGACAACTGAAAAAGGAAAAAATACGAGCTGAATATTTTTTCCAAAAAAAGAACAAAGTAATTTAGAATCCCCTTATTAGATGCACATTGCAGCCTCATAAACACTGTTAGCCAGTAACATGTTTCAGATGGATTTTTAATGAATTCATGAAATAGAAACATTAACTGGGTTATGCAATAGATGTCAGAAAATAACTCACGTTTCTATCAGAGGAAATATTCAACTTCAGTATCCTACACACCATAACAGAACTCACGCAAAGAAAGTTACAGCATAGAAAATGTCAATTTTGTCACTGATGTTCTGGTTTGCTTTAAGATATCATGAAAAGGCACTGATACAAACATTTAAAAGAAATCCTCACAGTACTTTGCTTTCTCAAAGACATTTCCAGCACAGATTTGCCCATCTAAAACCCATTCCAAGGCTCTAATCCCTACTTGCACTGATGTCCCACCAGGAAATATTGACACTTACCCACGTCATGCTGATATCTGCAGGTCTATAAATTAGTCCTGAAGGGCGTCCCTCTCTTCATTTGTTTCTCCTGGACGTGTTTGGCACCACTGGGTGTTTTTCTTTTAATATCACTTTGCACTTTCTTCATCAAGGATTGGCGCAAGTAAGGATGTGTGGAGCAAACGCTGATCTGTCACATAAAGGTAAAATGCATAATTATTTTACACCATTCGTTCTAGACTATTATACTCGTATTAGACCTCTCATGCGTACTGGCCTGTTGTTAAGGATAAACAATTTCTGCATATAAATGTTGTCATGATAAGGTGGAGGAACTGTAAATCAGCTTGGAGGGATGTTTCTCAACGGCAGACCTCTCCCCGAATCCAAGAGGAGGAAGATGATCGAGCTGGCCTCAGAGGGAGTCCGTCCCAGCCAGATCTCCAGGATACTCCGGGTACGCAAAAAACTGTTTGGCGTAAATATAACTTTGTGCTTTAATACGCGCACTGACCATTGCGTATTTCAGGTGTCAAACGGCTGTGTCAGTAAAATCCTGAACCGATTCCGACGAACTGGACGCCTGGAGCCCAAGACCATTGGAGGAAGTCGACCCCGGCTTCTCACCCCGGGTGTCATCTCCACAATCATCCAGTGCAAGAGGGAAAATCCAACAATCTTTGCTTGGGAGATTCGTAAACGTCTCGTCTCAGCTCGGATGTGCAAGGCCTCTAAAATCCCCAGCGTGAGTTAACGAGATTTCCAGTGTTGTGTTCATATATTTAAACATATTCCAGCATTTTATTTGCCTTTTTATATGCATTTTCTCACAAGGTATCGTCGATTAATCGGATTTTGAGAAAAATCCACTTGGACCATGGGCCGATGTGCATGGAGATCAGTGCGCACAACAGAACCGAGCAGAGTGAGTCTCTCCACGGCTCATAGTTTGTAAAATAAATGAAATAATTTAGTAGACTGCTTCACCAGTAAGTAATGATACAACCCCAATCCCATTAGCACTGGGATACTGTGTAAAACCTGTATTTTGAAAATTGCATGAGTAGCCAGCAACACCTTTCAAAACAGCTGTTTAACATTAGGTAACAGAAGAGATCAGTTTCTGAAGTTTGGAAAGTAAAGTGTTGGCCCTTTCTCCCCTAATATGGGATTTCAGGTGCTTTCAGTTTGAAGTTACATTTGTTGTATTTTTGTGTCAAGATGCATCAAATGTTTTCAATTAGTGACAAGTCCAGAGAGTAGATGGGCCAGTTTAAGCCCTGGACTCTTCTACTATAGAGCCATGCTGTTTCTGATGCAAAATGCAAATGTTGCAATGCAAATTATCGTTTGGCATCTTCTTGCAGTATTTTGCAAAGTCAGCCCTAAAAATAACAGTTCAAAAATACAGAGCTGGGTCTGATTTGCAGGGTAAATCTGCAGTAGCTCAGGAGGTAGAGCGGTCGGCCAATAACCGTAAGGTTGGCAGTTCAAACTCTGCCTTATCCCTAGTCTGTCCGTTGTGTCCTTGGGCAAGACATATAACCCACCTTGCTCCCAGTGTGTGTCCTCCACTGGTGTATGAACGTGAGTGTTGTGTGGTGGTGGTCGGAGAGGCCGTAGGCGCCAACTGGCCGCCACGTTTCCGTCAGTCTGCACCAGGGCAGCTGTGACTCCTAAGGCAGTTTACCGCCACCAGGTGTGACTGTGTGAGTGAATGAACAATGTATCCAATGTAAAGCACTTTGAGGTCAGATAAAAAGTGATATAAAATCTGATGCATTATTATTATATCATATTTCTTTTTGCAAAGTGATGTTATGTGTCTTGTTGTATCTGCAGACTTTGTTCCACTAATTCAAGAAGAAGTGATTGAGAGAAATACTTTTGAGACCATTTGCAGCAACAATCGAAAACCCAAAGGCTCCCAGCACCGAATCAGAACCACCTTTACCCCTGAGCAGAGCACAGTGCTTGAACAAGGTGACTTGAAATCTCAAACCAACACACTCCTGCAATCCCCCCACCTGGACTTCCTGTCAAATTCTCATTTTTATCCCCCAAATACAGAATTTTCCCACAGCCAGTACACAGACCTCTTCACCAGAGAAAAACTGTCAGCTGAGATCAAAGTCCCTGAAGAAACCATCAAGGTGACACATCATTTCAAACCGTGAAAATAATTCACAAATGCATCTTTCTGCTTTTATGAAGACTGTCTGTCTTTTGAAGGTGTGGTTTTCAAACAGACGGGCCAAATGGAGGAGGGAGGCTAAACACAGATGTAGCACACAGGGTAAGTGTGAAAGGACTGGTTGAGTGAAGGCATACAGGAAACATAGGTCATACTATACTGGTCAGACTGAACAAACAAGACTAAATGGTGAATTTTCAAGACCATTTGAGAGCTGCTTTTACATGTTTTACATGACATTCCTTGGTTGACTTTTAGAGGCTACGACAGATAATTATTTGCAACCTAATTCTCGTAATCTGACACAAAGGTGGATATTCACAACATGTGGAAACCATCCCAGGCCCACCACCATTCCTCCATCAATCCAACCACATGATGGCCCACACCATGACCCGAAAGACTGCACCGGATCTCCAATCAGATAGATTCACTTTTCCATTATTCCACCATCACGCTGGTCTGAAGACAACTCCTCTCCCTCTGACCACTGAGACAATAACACCAGAGCACACTGTGACTCCGATCTGGAACCAGCAGGGAATTTCTTTCACATGGAGCCAGTTTCCCCAGCAGCCGTGGGCCCTGAGTCCACATGGTTACCAAGACTAATTCATGACCAAAGTTTGTTGTAAATGGACATAAAAATTACATTTTTATTTTGTTATTTCTAATTTGGAAAAAAGTTCTAATACTATTTTTCCTTTTGCCAATTTGTTGTTTATTTGAATCTTTAAATTGACATCTAGAAACTTGTGTTCAAACTGCCTTGGTGGGAACTAATGAGGATATTAATTAGCATTTTGTCGCCTACTCTGCAGTTGTTACACCCTGTTTACCATTCAGTTTTCTTATTAGGGATCAAGTTATACATCTTGTAAACTTGCAAGCAACCTCAATTCAACTCGGTCTCTAGACTGCAGGGACATTTTTTGACCATTAGAGGACGACAAAGTACAGCAGTTAGCTCCACATCTTTCACCATTTCATCCTTTTTAATCCACTGCTGCTGCGCTCATCAGGGACATTAAAAAGCAATAAATAAAAAAACATTTACAAAACAATATATTTAATGTTATTCCGTATTCAAGCCTCCTATTGATGAATCAGACAGTCCCACATAATTAAAAATGTATCAACAAAACTGATTTGTAAGAGAGACAAAGGTTTTGCTTATAGAAACAAAGTGCCACTCAGGAAAGTTGGTGAAGCACTTCTTTCAGAGGTCAAGGCCAGTTTTACTAGATCAGCTTCCAGGAAATAAGGTGTTATAAGCCAAAGTGTGATAAATATTGATTCTGCTTAAAATGGAGCAAATTTTAATGGGTGTATGAAGAGAACAGTTAGAGTATTTGCATGTAACGTTTTCTGGATTCTCCATATACCTGCTCAGTGGTAAACTCTGACTGTAACATAAATCATTGCTCAAAGGATCATTTAAGGTTACCAGTGGGTAATATGTATGTTATCTCTTTTATAGTCTCAGATTTCTGTTTGTTTAAGAGAAAGAGGAGATGAAGCTGCCCTTCCAACATTTCTTTCCATGGGGAGGCCAGTGGGAAAACCCATAAAAGTATAGCTTCAAAAAGTCTAAACATGACCTGATATCTGCTCTGCTAGGTATCAGTTTTTATGAGTGCGACAGGGCAGAGGCATTGAGTTCCTTTATGTCCCTTTACTACAGTGAGGAGACACTAAGACTCAGGAGCTCCTCGATAATTGGTCACTGGGGAGGAAAGGTTGGGACCAGAAGGCAAACAGCCTGGCCAGCAGGCGTGGAAGTGGCCTACCGGCAAAAGTGACCTGACAGAATTCAATGTTACGGGGCCAGATAGGTAAATTACATCTCCACATGACAGAATAAACGTTTGTGTTGTGATTTCTGCTGCAAATATAAATCATGTGTAAGCCTTTTATATAGCTTTGGCTCGACTATTGAAAAGGGAACATTATGCCTTTTCAAGTTGAGGCCAGTTTTAGTGTAACTGATATTTGTCAGGGGGGTTACCAACTGTGGTGGACAAAAATGTAAAACTCAGAAAGCTGCACTTGAGTATTTCCATTTGAACAACTTCATTCTTACACCACACGAGATGTTAGAAGCACACTGGACATTTTCAAATGGCTCATTTCTTTAATAGTCAACATTAAAAAAGCTTTGAAAAGTACAGACCTAAACGGCTGTTTTAAATAACTCAGAAAGTCTGGACAAAACTCCCTAGCAACAGTCTGTTATACAACGGCACAGTGTCGCCATGAATACATCTGATCAAAACCTTGTCGACTTACTTTGATCGTATCAACGCGCAGAGAGAAGTCCAGTTTGATGGTGTGTTATCTAAGGTGGAGATACAATGAAAGAGTGAAAAATATGCAAAAGCTGGAGGATCTTAAAAGGGGTTATCAAATGTGAAAATGCTTAATGTGAGTAATAACAGGTACGTATTTTTGAAAATGTTCAGTTAAGTAAGGACAGGATTAGTTTATTTAAGTTGGGCCACTATGCTAGCTAGGATGAGCATAACTTAAACTGTAAAGTGCGGCAAACTCAGGTCCTGAAGCAGAAAAAATCCTGTGCCTGAAATTTATGACATATTTTATGAGACTCCGACATATTGTATAGGTTATGACACTATATGACAATGGAGCCATTGATTCATATTGGAAGATATTGATTCAAAAAAATAAAAAATCACTAAAATGTAACTGTATGACCATGAGGAGACCCTCGGTGTTGGTTGATTTTGGAGTCTCTGTACTGTATAACAGTAGAGCTATTGAGTTTTGTTCGCAGCGTCTCGCTCGTGTATCGTAATTTGCAAACGATCCCTGCGCACTCGCCCGGCTACCGGCAGCGCACAGAGATTAGTATAATTCATTCAGCTCGAAGAACAGCTTGATTTTGTTTTTTAAAAAATCGTTTTTTTGATTCTTGTAGCTTGTAGTCTGAGTTATTACGACGTGAAAGAGGCATCATTTGTGTTTAGACAACGTTTCCACTCAGAGTTATCGATCCCGGAAGTCCGAATCTGTGAATATCTTTCCAACTTTACCGAACCTTTCCCCACTGCTGCCATAAATAAGCTTCCCGGCGCACACCACACAAAAAAACAATCACCTGACTCTTTCATTTTCAGCACCAGCTACTGTGAGGCTTTCCATCTTTTCCAGCCTCCTCCGCCTAACTGCCTACCGCAGTTTCTTCTCCTGGTTAGTGTACCTGAATCCGTGTACCTCGCTTTCATCGTTGCAAATTTGCCGCTCGTCGCTCGCTGATGCGTCTTCCTCCTCTTCTTCTTCTTCTCCGACAGACTGTACGCTATCCAGCGTAAAACTGCCCTCTACCGGTCAAATCCAGACCTAATTAGCTTTTTTTTTTTTTTTTTTACATGATTGATTAAACAAAAAATAAATAAATAAAATATTCACATCAAGCGCTATGCGATTTCGCGACTTTCCGGGTGGAAAAAAAGATGCATCCCGGGTGGAAGCAAGAAGACTGACACAACAGCAGACTGACTGTTTTTCAGCTCTGATTAGACACTAGTGTTGAGATGGCTGTCTGTAATGATAGCATGTACTGAGTCGGGGCCAGTACCAGATAAGCACATTAAACTATAATCCATAAATGTAAGGTAACAACCGAGATTTAATGGTGCTGTGACAGCAACGCAACTGAGTTTGAGACAGTGAAAATACACATGGTATGTTGTATCTAAACAGGTTGGCTTATGAGCTAAAGTTACTTTGCACAGATGAAAGTTAAAACAAAGACGTTTAGCAAACTGTTAAAGCACACAAACTATCGTCATATGAGAAATCCGATGCTATGACTCTCCACAAGTTGGTATCTTTGTAATGTGTGTGTTTTTTTTTTATCATAAAGCACTCTGTTCTCCGATAAACAACCTGCCAGTCGGCCATGTTGGATATACCTGTGAATCTGACATCACAACAACACACAATCTGATTGGTCAGAAGTAGACACACAGCATGCGAAACTTCAGAAAAATTGACCGTGCTATGAAAAAATAAATGCCGCAATATCGCAGGAAGGGAAAACGTCGCTGTAGCAGGGTCCCTCATGAGGCTACTGGTGGTTTTTATACCTAAAATGTAAGGTCATTTATTTCCCAGACAAGCAAAGATAAGTATTAATGTTGCAGAGATGCGTGGCAAAACTGTCTTTATCCTATCACCACATTAATCATTTTATAACTTGTAAATGTCATCTTGTGATCCTTGTCCGAGGGGCCAGACCCCCAGAAACAGCCACACTTAACTTCACAATTACATTAAAAAACACAAAATTTATCTGGGGAGCATTAAGTGAATCTAATCTCCTATTGAGCAATCCAAACCAAAAAGCTCAGTTGTGTGTGACTTAAGCCTTGCTTGTCTACATTTGTCAGCAAATGTTTCCTCAGACATGTTATTAGTTCTCTCCCACAGTGGCTGGATAGATGACTCTTGTTCTTTCAGCCACTTAAGCGAATTTATCATACACTAGAATCTGCTGCTCTGATGGATACAAGGAGTAAACTGCCAAAAACAGAGTAAACAGATCCCAAGAGTGCGGGGGAAAGCCAAAAGAAAGATGCAAAAGTGCGGGATAATGTTAAATGTGATGACAAGTTGTTTATTAAAATAGAAGTGATACAAAGGCTACTAAATAAAAAAAAACTCATAGATATAAAACACGTACTAAAACACAAAATAGCAGCTGTTACATTAACAGTATACAAACATATATAGCAAAAATACTTAAGTATGATATTTACAAAAATTACAAATTTCCATTTACAGAAAGCATATTTACATAAAAGTAAAAATTAAATAACAGTTACAACGCCATGAGAGCACAAGGGACAAGAAAAGGTTTATACTTGCAATATGATTATGTATATGTGATATTCAGTTTTAACCTATTTGATCATAAACTGTTGATAATGATGGGTTTTTTTTTTGTTTACATTGCTACTTCAAACACTTTCCCCTTTGGTTTCACCTGTGCATTGCTATTTTAGATTTGCTTTTGTCCTCAAAGTACAATTAAAGCCCAAGTTACATTTTAGTTGTAGCCGTCTTGGTTTTTGAACACGAAAACAAACGGCAGACTGAGTGATGCAATGTCCCTAATTCAATTGTTCCTTTATTATTATGTACAGCAGCCAAAAACATCACTGTTTGCAATAGTTTGTATAATTAAATTATCTCGTGATCAAGAGTAAATATATAATTTCTTTCAAAGAAAAGAAGCTTTGTTTTTCTGAAACAAAGAAAAAGCCTCTTCCGCATATGTGAAATGTTTTCCAAATCAAGAGAGTCATGCCAGCAGAGGAAAAACATACTCTTGATATCAGCAGCTAAAGATTCAATGTGTCAAATACAGGAGTACTTAATATTGCTCAGTGTGTCCTAAATCAATTTTCAGTGATGGTCTTAAGGATGATCTTGGAGACAGCGGTGTGTCCAGAGAACTGGTCAGGGTGGCATGAGCCTCCCATAACATTTGATTTGCCATCCCTGATACAAAAAAAAGTCCAAAAAAATAAACACGCCTCTGGTTGAAGGTGAAAATGGTCATGATGGAAAGTCTTACGCTCCTATGTTTGACTACCCTTTAACTTTCCCCAACATGAAGGTAGTAAACGTCTCCTATAGATAACACAAAGAATTTACCTGTTATACTAAGTAAACAAGCTTTAAAATCTGAAATAATAGCCTGTGATCTGAAGGTAACAGAATTATAACAAACTGCAAGCATGTCCATTCTTGGCTTCCGTACTTTTGTACCAATTTCTGTGTGATTATTTGGAGCAGTTTTCTCAGAGTTGAGAGTAGACTACAATGTTTGACTGTCAGGTTGGAGCAACACAAACATGGGAAAATATGCTGCTGTTGATGTCAGATAAATGTCGATGTCATCATGTGGGTTTCTGGGCAAACTACAAAATGGTCATGGACAAAGAAATATGGATAAACATATGTTATTTACATATGTTTATTCTCTTTTTGGTTTACAGCTATACTTCCGTTGAAACTAAATATTTGTGCCCAAATAAATCTTTAGTAGATGTTTGTCCTCAAATAACCTCGTGTTAAAAAGTGAAGCTAATCCAGAAGTGTAAATAATGCAGTTCCATGGGTGTCCACTTGAGGCGGACTCAGTAAAAATGTGTGACTTTTACCACAGAATTAAATGTATTTTAACCTGGGACAAAAATGGTCTTGGTCGTTATGGCTCATTTATCTACTAAGATAACATTAAAAGGGGTTAATACATTTTTCTGCTACCCACTGGTTTTAGTTAAGTCAAGGCTCGGAGTTATGCATGATGGCATAATTAGGGACAAATGACTGACAGATGGGCTCTGAGCTGTTTGCCAAGCACTGGGACTATGACTGTAACTTTCCCTCTTTGGTTTAATGACATCAGCATTTCCAGAAATTGAGCGTAGCAGGAGTTCAAGCAGGACACTAAGTCAGGCTCTGCCTGCAGTACATCAGCTGATCATCACGTCAGCATATATCAGCTGATAACCTTCCTTGCATTGAATTGGGACATGTCAGAAAGGGTGTTCTCTTCTAACTGCTTCAGCCTGCCTTCTCTCGCTGCTCCACCCAAGCTCCTCCAGTGTCATAAGTATTGTCACTGGTGTCTGCTCGGTTCTGTTCTGGGATTTGTACTACTGCTGCTTTCCATGCCTTGGCTTTTTATATATGCGTGCATATGAAAAAGAGGGGAGGTGCTCTCCTGGCTGCAGGCTTTCCACTTAAGCATGTGGAAGGGCAGGGATCTGAGGACAAAAGTTCTGGCACAACTTCACCAACAGAAAAGGTCTTAAAGAGATGGGGCAGGGATCCCTCAGAACAGAACCATACTGCCAAACATAACTAATGCATGAAAGTTATTAATTCTTTTAACATATGACCAGTAGTTAGTTGGGATTTCAGATGCTGTTCCCATCCAGAAGAAACCTTGCATCTCCAAAACCACATCCTCCCAGGAAGTAAACAAGAAAAGCCTGTGTTTGCACAACACCGCATTTGATTCAACCTCAGGCTTTTTGAAATACTTTTATACTGTAAATGTTAGACAGCCTACTAACAGGCATGAAGGGAGATCAGAAGTATTGTTTAATGCAAAAATATTAAAATGATGATAAGTGGAGATACAAAATTTCTGCCTGACAGCGATGATATGGCCCCTACCATGTTTGGGTGACGTCACCGAGACCACATCCATGTTTTATACAATCTATAGTCGGCTCTTGTAACATTAGAAAAATATTTGAAAAGTAGTTGCTTTCATACATATATGTTATTGTAGATATGCAGTACTCCTCCTAAGATGAAAAGGCCTGCTGTAATCTAGCCTACCATGTTTTGTTTGTGAGGCTATGACTGGAGAGTCAAACATTCAGATTAGTTATTCTTGGGTCATTATTACTCTCAAAACAAAGAAAAGACGCTCCAAATCCCACATCAGAATCCGGTTTCCTCTTCAATGATGTCCTCTGCTGGTTTAAAAAAATAAATATACCTCACGCCTACTTACAAGTGATCAGTCTCTTTAAATATTTAAGACAACCAGAGACAAGAAGAAACTAATTTGACATAAGAGAACAAAAATAATCCAGATCTATAAGACCTATAAACCTTAGAGCTCTGCAGAAACATACTCAATAAATCTGCAGCTATGTACATAAGGAGTCACTTTCCATGAAACAAAAGTAAAGTATAAAATCTCCTACTGACCACACACAGCCCACCAGGGGCCAAAGTTCCCTCCAAACTGGAGACCAAATAGCCATGTTATATTTGGCATGGCTCTTCTCTCTCTCATGCTGCAAATATTAGCATAAGATCTGGAGCAGTCCGCTCAGTCCTACTTAGACCCTCTCACGGGGAAACTCAAAGTTACTGCTAACTGGGGAAAAGGTAGTCCGGCTACTGCACATAATTAGCACGGCATGGTTTGCCAAGGTTGCTGCAGTTAGCAATAATAGAATTTATGTACCTAACTGCTGGAAATTCAGGAGCCATATTTTAAAACTTTTGTTGCATTTACAAGCTAAAGGCTAAACTGCTGTTGATCCTCTGTGCTTCAGTGTCCGTCTTTCAGTGACATTTTCAAACTATTACATATCCAACTCTGACTATTTTTGGTGGATTCTTAAGTAGAGGACAAATATTAACCATTTTTGGTACGATATTTCAAAGGCATCCCAAAAACGTATGACCATATTAGTATCTTTGTTGAATTAAACAAATACTTGTCGATACAATCTTTTGCGTTGGACATAAAAAGACGATTTGCATTCCAGCGCAAGGCATAAAGAGGAAACCCCAGTCACACAAGGATACCTCATACTGCAACTCCCACAGAACTGGGTTCTTTGCATTTTCAAGTATATTCCAGGAGATAATACTGAGTAGCAATAGTCCTTCTCATCGTCTTTGTTTGCATGGCTTCAGAAAATCTGAACATGTCAAAATACTATATGTACGCATGTGCCCAAGACTTTGGTTGTAAAGATGATATAATGGCAAGGAACCTGATGTCTTCATTTGAAAGTGGAAAATAGATATTCCATTTCTATGTCCAGGCTTCAGTCTCCATTCTCCATACTCTGTGAAAATCAGCCAGAAAATCCAAAAATGGCAACTTCCCATTCGGTAGTTTCCAAATTTCTTCCAATGGTCCACTCCGGAAAAGACTTGGAATTTGTCGCTGGTTCCTTCTTGCAGTTTGTGGTCTGTAGATATGCGTTCTACACCACACCGTCAGTTCCTCTCAGAATTGGGATAAAGCCGGAACACTTTGTAAATCCACTCAGAGTAGAAAGCAACGTTCACAAAAAGCGCAGGCTGCGATGACGCGCACTTCGTCCTTTGGATGCTCACACCAATGATTACTTTGCGCTCATGTTCTTGACAGACCAAAGGACCTCCATAGTCTTTCTGGAAGAGGAGAGGAAGAATGAATACATCAGAGGGACATAAAGCTGACAAATGCAAATACCATGTTCTAAATATTGAAACTAATCCAATTCACAATGGAGTTTTATAGGAGAAAAACACAGGGGTTTCCAGAATAAAAACATAAATCTAAAACCATAAAGTTGTAAACTTATGAGAACAAAGTCCCAACTTTACGAGAAGAGACTTGTAATTCTCCAGAAATAAGTTGTAAATTTACAAGAACAAAGAGACAAGTTTATGAGAATACAGTCGTGATATTACAAGAACAAAGTTGTGATGAGGATAAAGATGTAAATTTGTGAGAGTTAAGTCATAATTTTAGACCGTAGTTGAGCAATATGTTATCCTGAAGGGAAAAACTATAAGAGCAGCCAGGTGCCTGCACTAAATGACCAGGGAGCATCTCATGAAGTTATGCTTATGACTTCACGAGACTTATAAATAACTTAATGCTCAATCTTCTCGTACACCAGTACCACATTTTCATAAATATCAGGGCTCTGTGCGAGAAACTGAGTTGATCATGAAAAAGGAGGTCTAAAAGGGAGGTTGTGGACACTTTTGCTCGCACTTTCTGTTGAGGGTAACCTAACAAGATGATTGACGTTCTTCATTTTGGTGTTAAATGTTATACCTGTATGTTACTGGACGGGTAGATCAATCAAGGATTGTGATTAAAATGCTCTCATCAAAAAAATGAATCCTTGTAAAATCCCGACTTTATTGTGAATTTATGAGTAAAATCTTGTGAATGTCCAAATTTAAGTTTACATGTTTGATCTTATTGGTTTAAGTCATTTTTGTAAGCTTACAACCTTTTTTCTATTATTTCTTACTTCAGTCTGGTTTTGATTAAGTTTATCTGTATACAGTTATATCTATTTTTTTCTGAAGACTTTATTTTTTTAACTATAAATCTATTGTTTTAATTGTACAACTTGATTCTTGAAGTCTCAGTTTCATTATCCCTAACATTGCCCTAACCTTCTGCTTTACCAAATTTTAAAATGCTTATAGAAAATCTCAAGAGTGAGTTTCAACTATATGTGACTATTTTTCAACTATATGTCACTCTTTTTTGTGGAGTTTTTTTGGTTATATCACTTTAATTCAATACGAAAGAAGAGAAAACAGAAAAATATATGTATTTTTTTTATATTTATCGGGTTTCTTACATCACATACGCCTTTCCCTCTTCTACCACCGGCACATATTCGGCTTTCCCCAGCATCCCCTTTGATTTGTGAGCACATGTCGTTGTCCACCATGGGCATGGTGACAGAGTTTAGAACCTCATTTTGTCCTGTATCTGAAAACAGAAAGGATATTTATTATCATTGTTAGATATCAGAGGCATTATTAAGTGTAAATGATGATTCAAATAAAAGGGAGCAAGGCATGTGGGTGGAAGACGGCAGTACTTTTGGTTTCCCCCCATCCGTACATGGTGCAGTTGGTGCCCTCAGGGATGTGACACTCTTTGACGGGGAGATGAATGGTGGAGGCACCTTCAGACACAGGGGCAGGGCTGCAAAAGAAGTCACAATCATAATGAAACTAAATAAAAACCTCTGTATGCTCATAGATAATTCAAAAACAATCTGTTGACTTACTCTGCTAGTTTCAACATAACCAGATTGGACCCTTCAGGGCCGCAGATCAGGCGGGAGATATGAAGTCTCGGGTGGTTTGAGGACTCATTGAGGTGCCGCAGACCAACTTGCACACTGTATTCCCTTAAATCTGGAACACTATCAAACACAATGACCAACATATAAGTTTTAAATTTAAACAAGCCAGCAGGTTTTCTGAGCTTCAGCTTGACACTTGAGGATTTCAGAGAGATTGCGTTAAAAATAAAGATGGAGTCATTGAGGTTAGAAAAAACAGGATATTTGGGTGATAGGAAAGGTTTTCTAACATGCAATAAAGTTGTAATACAGGGAAAGTAGGATCCAGTGTTATTGGAAGATGTTGCATTAAAGCTTACTGCTGCTTTATTTTGACAGGTATTTTTCAAATGGATGGATGTGCAAGCTAATATTAACACGATACAAGGCCAGCAAAGTGAAGAAAAACGTGAGCTCTTCTCATAACAAGAGTATTCTTACTCTTTGAATACTCCTGAGAGAGAACAGAAGTCCATTTATGAAACTCTAAATATAGGTTTTAATATAGCTATAGTGTGGCGTTAGTGAAACTGTCTAAAAGAAGTTATATTACATGTTACATATGTGTGATATCATACTCAAATCCCTTGTGTGTTTTTGGCTCCCTTGTTGCACCTTCTGGCAAGTTCTTCTCAGCAAAAATGATGTCAGAAGTTTAAGTTTAACGCTAATTTATCATTTGTAGAGATTCTTTTGCAATCACACAACATATGGAGACAAGACCTACAAAATTAACAAAGACAAAGAGCAGACTTTCACAGTAAAGTTTTTTTTTAACAGGCATCAGCTAAAAGCTACTGATGCATACCATATGTAATACATACAGTCCGTACTGAGATAGGGTCTTTTTCTTTTAAGCCACTACTTCAGATGCAGAGATAGTGTGTGTGTATGTGTGTGTGTGTGTGTGTACAATTGGCTCTGACTTAGATAACTGCAGAAGTTAAACAGATCTGCAGGCTGAACCTTTCTGTTTCATATATCAGGTCAGGGACCTGGGGAAGGGAACTGTCAGTAAACAGGATGTGTCCTGCATCTTTAAACAGTATCAAAAACAGGGGAGCAAGAAAAAAGGAAGCGTGTTTGGAAGATAAAGTAAATGGAAGAGGTACATTAAAGGAGGATTTAATCAAACTTGAGGCTCATTTATGCTTCCTTTGCAAAGGAAAAACATTTTAAACAATATATCCATCACCGTCAACACAGTCCCTTGTGTCCTTTACAATGTGATAGATGAGCATCCACAAGAGGGCGCCACTTTACTTCAAGTTCACTGCCATCCATCTGACATTGAGTTGCCTAAATGTCCCCGCCCGTCTCTTCTATTAAAGTTTGTGGTCCCAGCAAGGTAACACCATAATTATGTTTATAAGGGACATCAACTCTAACCACTTAATCAGGATGTGATTAGAGTCCAAAATCAGATGTTTTTGTAGCCTGTTACTTTCCCCCTTTTAAGCTACTTTAGCCGTTACACTGTCTACTAATGTCGCTTGACTAAAGCAGGTTAAGGATCAGTATAAGTCCTGCATGTTTCTTAGTGTGTAACTGTGTTATCTATGAAAATAAGGATAAACACTTTCTTGCCAGAGCAAAAGCACTTGGATGCTGTTTCAAAAGTCATGGTTTCAAACCACATTGGTACAGCAGTGCAACATGATTAAAATAATAGATCTAAAAGTCAAGATCACTGAGTATGTTCCATTGCATTAATTTGATCCCCAGGTCAGGACTCTGCCAAGAATTGCTACATGCCGTCAAAATGACAGAATTTCAAATGAGATGAGAAATTTTCTTGTTTCCAATTGACTTATAAAGTTCAAAAATTAATCACAATTAATAATAACAAATTGATTGTTATGTTTCATGTTTCCAATCAAATTGCACAATGTTTTCTCAAAATCTGTCCCGTTGTGTTCTGCTGGTTTGGCTTGTACTGTTGGCTACACTGCTCTACAATGTTCCCATGATTTTTAGCGGGACACATGGAACTGTGTGCTTTTCTGAAGAGATTCCGAAATATGGAGATGAATGCAGACTCCATCTGTATCCATACTCATCTAAACATCGTGCATAAATGAGCCTTTTATGGGAAAGCATCAGATTTAAAAGGGTAAATTACCAAGAAGTGAAGCACTGCTGGTCCGTCAAAACCCAGTTTTCTCTGATCAATGAACCCCCACACAGATGAACCTTCCTGTGGAAAGGTTAGGAGACAAAATCACAATTAAGCATGAATACTGTCTGAATAAAAGCATGAAATGTGTATGTTTGTTCACAGACGCAAAATAACCTACTCTCTTTGGATGCTAACAACCCAGCTGCCGTCTGTACCTCGCACTTGGTGTCCTCCAACAATCCTGGTGTTTATGTGCACAAAGCACGATATCTTGGGTCTAGTGACAGCTAAACAAGAAGACATGTTTTACTTTGCATGTGAGGCATTTGTGAAATTTACATATCAATGAGAGATGTTTGGAAAACCTCAAAAGGCATTGATGAAATATGATTTGTTTAGTCATGGTTTGAGCAAAAGGAAAAGGAACCAGAGTGAAGATTAGACATGAAAGCTAAATAAGAAAAAGCTATACTCACTTTGGTTGACTTGAAGAGCCACTGGATCTGATTCACCTGGTAGAAGTAAAGAAAGGCACAAGTGTAAAATGAGACCAGACGGTTATAATTCAGGGCACTTGACACACAAGGCATTAAATCTCATCGCAAAGGAAACCCCTCCTCACTTCATAAAGCCTTATCTCTCAACCCGAATCATCGCTTGTGGCCATAACAGTCAGCAACTGCAGCAAATAAATTTGCTCTAGACCCCAAAAACTTCATGGCAGACATGTTTTATATTATGGAAATTATTTTGCAACCATTTGAAAGGGGCTTTTTAATGCAGCCAGATTGAAAACAGCCAAAGAAAATGTTGGGTCCAGCCGTTTGTGGGTGTACTTTCTCAAATGGAAGGATGTCAGTAGAGATCTGCATCTGTTTGCTGTTTGAGCATTGGACAAAAGCATGGCTAACACATTACATAAGCCACCAGCCAAGCTGTTTAAAGAAAGACATTTTGGTTGAAGTCAACCAAGGCTGCAAAACTTAATCGCTTGTGTTGTTAGAATGTACTGCACCCCACAACTATTACGGTCTCTCTGATCTGTAATGATCACCACTAAATTGTCCCCGCTCGACCTCGAAAATCTCTTCATTCAACACTTTGCATGCTGTTAAAAAAATTTAAACATAATAAAACTTTATGGGGACGATTAGACGCAACAAACACCTTTAGTTACTCCCCAGTTTGTTTATTAATCTCCTGCCGCTGACCACACTTGCCTGCCTACTATTCCAAAGCCATAAGTAGTGCTTGTTTTCATCACACATTTAAAAGAAAGTAAACCCACCACTGAATATGAAAAGACCTATTTGATATGTTTTGATGGTGCCAGTTCTAGAAATTTCCTTAGACCTACAGCTCACATCTGCATTTTGCGATGATCAGCCAAGTCCCCCCAGGTGTGATTACACTCAATCAACAGTCTGCAACCTTTTCTCTGTAACCCTCTTGCTCCTGCTTCCCGCAGCTGCACATTTATGTAAGCACATTAGTATCAACCGCATCTGTGTTGGCAGCAATTAATGTTCCGCACATGCTTCAGGAAAGGCTCGTGTTTTCTGTTTGAATCAAACTGTCACCACCGGAATTAAATCCAAAAGCAAGAAATGTGTGCAACCTGTTTGCTGCTTGTAAAGGCAATGTTTCATCTTTTGTAGCCTTTCATTCACGATATAGATCAACTTTGTCAATTAAAACCTTCCTCCCTCCGGCTAGAAGCTACTTCTGACTTTACCTCAACAGACAGGTAAGCCTCTTTGTAGCTATGCTTAAAGAAGCAGATACCATTTTAAAGTCTGCGGGATAAAAACTCTGCAATCAACTGCTATCTTTATGGCTGATGTTACACAGAAAAACAAATACAGACAAAAGAAGAGACAAGGTTATTTCGTCCACTCACAGTGCTTCAGCTTGCAGTAGTCCCAGACCAAACGATTATTTGGATTGGTGTAACACCAGGGGCCATGTTTGTCCCGGTCTGGGTTCCGGCAGTAGTTCTTCTCCAGCCCTACATGTGATTCTGTAGAGTGAGAATCCCCACTGTAAAACACACAAATACACATTCTCATATTCCATTTGTTATTCCGGCACAGTGTTTAAGAACTAACACTGGGCCACATCCCATAAAGATTCATACACACTCGTACACTCTACAAACACACAAGCATGTGCAAACACTGAGCTGCACACACACTCTCAAGCACAAGCACCACATACACAATGTTAGGAGCCGCGCTACGCCTGTTAAAGTTGAACTCTGGGTTTTCTATAGTGTAAAGAATCTAATGCATTTGCTACACAGAGCCCGTAGAAGGAAACAGAGTTTTGCGAAGAGTGCTCATGGGAGTATAAAAGTATGTGCTCTAAGCAATCAGTAGGGCTCAGACCAGCAGGAGCCACATCCTCTACAAAGAGACTTGGCTCTGCTCTAGATGTTTAGGAATTCACATCTAATTGTGTCACTTTTTGTTACCCTCCTTTTGACTCTGTGAAAGTTGAATGTAATCTCCAAAAACGTAGACTATAACACAAAGTGACTTCTTCGTCGAAGTTGGAACACACACACGGAAAAATAATGCAAAGCGATGGGCAACAATTTGTCAAGGGGTGAAGATAATTCCACTTCCCAGGAGATTGTTAAACAAGCTGTAGCCTTCAGCAGTTTTTCCTGGGATGACCCTTGGCCTTGAGCAGGGTAGACTCGCTGGCTGCAGTCTACGCAAGGGAGCTGATTGGCTTTGATCTGCTTTCCTCAGAAAGCACTTCCTGGGGTCAGGGGTCGGCTCTGGAACATGTCCATCTGTCTGTGCCATTTTGGCTTTTAAAATTCCTGTAAATTAAGTAATTCCAACAGTCTGACTTAAGCATAAGGCAAAAGCTGAAGAGTGGACAACCTTTTCGTCAGGTTGGGTTACTTGGAGCACACCCCATGGTTTCCTCTCGTCAGTTAGATGAATAATAATTGGGCCTGGTATTGACCTCTGTGGAATCCCTGATTTCCTCTTGCTGTTTGTTTTCACTGCTTAACTTCAATCATTTGAAAAGGATTTTCACAGGGCAATGGGAGCTAAATTGTCAACAAACACTCATCAGCTAAGCTGAAAAGAATGTCAGACTTGCTAGAAAACACCTCCAGTGTTTCTCGATACTTCACAAGCCTGACTGGGTGGTTCCAAAATAAGCCAGACAACAAATTCTGTATTGGCAGGATGATATTCTTACCTGTTTATGTGATGTGACCATTCTGCACACGGAATCCCTGATCTCGTTATGGATAAAGTGCCCCGATACGCTTCCCCATTGTCTTCATAACAGTCTGAGGAGGAACATGATGAAGTTGTATTAAAAAAGTACTGGTCATACATCTAATATTGAAACAAGCAGTTTTTCCAAATATTGTTATGCAGTCAGTAAGCGGAGAAACTAGCAGAACAGTGTTTGATTTGGCGGTGGCAGTCTTTTTCATTGATGCGAACAAAACAAAATTAAGTTAAAATCTTCAATTTTCCTCTGTGGTTTGGAGCAATTTAGTGTGCAGGGCCTCTGTGTAACTGGCGGTTCTCAAACGTAACGGAAAAATGAAACCTTACAATGTCTGTTTTTTAACAGACTCAGAAGACCGACTATAGGAACCAACAGTCTGGCTGCAGTTTGACATGTGTGGTCCTACAGCAAACGTAAAACAGGGAATCATGGGAAATGATAGCAAGCACTTTCATGAAATGGAATTCATCGGGCACCATGCTGCCAAGAGGCTCGCTCCTATGGGAGCGATATAGAAAGTGTCTGTGTAAATCCACTTTACAAAAACATGACATGTACTTAAAGGCATTAGCGGTTCTCCTTTTCAATCATATTTCACAATAAAAACACTTTTTCTGGATCAAGTTAGCAAACTGCTAGCTATCTGGTGACATGTTTGCCATAAAGATATGAAAATGTTAGAGTTTCTCTCATTTTAAAAGTTCAAGACTGTTTAGTATTTTACCTATTTTTTGTATGGCGTCAGCATCACACCTGGGGATTTGGGTGCAGTTGGCTATCCTCTGATTAGGGTCTGTTGTGAAGCACCATGGGTAATCCGCACCATCAGGGTTACGGCAATAGTTCTCCTTGAGGTCTCTGTAACACAAACACATACTACAATTTAAATGTTAATGCCGATGAATGATTTTTTTTAATAAGAGCAAGAGTAGAATTGCTAAAGTTTGGCTTTCATCCCTTGCCTTTTGGCACTTCAACAAACACCAGCACAAAATGAACAAATCACACAGCAGATAGAATCCAATCCAAGCTGTCAGGGACCATGAAAGAAGGGTGACTCACTTGCATTTGAAGTTCTGAGGGAGAAATGAGTGGTTATGGGGGAACTGGGAGTCCCAGCGCTGACATGTCACACCCTCTGGAGTCACATTCATGGTGCCGCGGTAATCTGTGCCCTTTCCTTGGACACAGGATGTTGTTACATTCACATCTGTGTGCTCGCTTGAGTCAGAATCTAGCAGAGAAAAAAAAGACGACAGAAATTTTCTGTCAGAGTGTAATCGTGAAATTAAAATCTTTGGGTGAAGTGAGTGAGATGTAAACCAAAGGCAGGTCAAAGGGAGAGAGCGAGAGAAGGAGGGAGATATTAATCCCCTGAAGAATGTGTCATGTTTAACCTAGAGACAGATGATCAAAAACAGTAGCTCTCCCCCCTCGTCTCCACTCCGATAGGAAACTTTCAGTGTATTCATAACACTGGTGCCCCACATTCTTTCACGCAGGGACATCCACAACAAAATAATAAGCTGTTATTTAACTTGCTGACGGCACACAATGTCACAGGTTGCCTTTAAAAAAAACCCTGAAATCTAATCTTGTTTAGGAATACCTTAATGCCACAACATTTAAACTTGTTTCTGGTGAATTTGTTTATCCCGGCCAAACCAAAGATATCACATCCAACCCGATCTGGCTGGGGCAACTTTATCCACCGGAAAACTATTCCAAACATCTTGAGAAGGAATTCTGCTTTTCAGCAGAGCGGGGATTGCAGAACGTAGGGAGCGACTTCTCCCCTCCGGATTTCTGTCTCTGTTTCTTTAGCCTTTGACAAATGAGATGGGAGAAGATGGAGGAGGAAAGGGAATGTTTTGAAGCAGAAATGAGAAGGCGGATGGAAAAGAGAGATTCTTTGGCTTGATGTAATGCATGCCAGTGTCTGTGTGCACTGTGTAGTACAGGTCAGTGGTTTTTATCTTTCTGAGGGCAGGCATTGAGGGATGCACACATCTGGACAAATGCAGATCCTCCACCCTCGCTGTAAATCATAACATGTACTCTTCACTACATGTGTGTATGTGTCTGACAGAGACAAAGAGAGATGATCTGTGTGTTTGTGGCTGCGCACAGGGGATATTTCATTGCGCTTTCAAAGAAAAAAACGAACATATTCACCTTTAGAATAACCTCTTTTTTTTACCTCCTGTCTTTTTTGTTGCATTTAAAGGCCAAAAGTTACCTAAGCAACTACTGTGAAACTCTGCCAACATGAAATGGCTGAAGTGAAATGTCTTTTATCTTTCTGAATATATGGACATACAGTACCACATCAAATATCTGAGGGATTCTTTCATTATGGACTAATTCTTATCATATTCAACAATAAAAGGTCTAAAACAATGAGGAAAGATACAGTTAAATCCACATATACAATGTTTTTGCACAGCTAATTTTGTTGCTTTAGGATCCAAAAGCAATCTAAACCCTAGACCCCAAAATTGGGGTGTTTGGCCTCTTTTAAACTTTTACAATTTTTTGAGCAGCAGAAAGTAAATTTCGGTTACAGTTGACTCTGGGTTCCTCAGAAAAAAGACCAATAACTTGATACAAAAGCACTCAGGCCTTGAGAATAAATCAGTCAAGAAGCCGTGTCGATATCCATTTGCACAGCTGTAAATCAAATGTACCAAACTTGGTTCCTTTTAATGGTGGATTCATTTCCAGAGAGCTGATTATTCCTCTCTGTGCTATTAAAAGACTGGTGCCAAAACAAAGGAAAATCCATTTTAGGTGCTGAATTCGGCTGTTCCGTCAGCAGGATATTCTTGGTTAAACAGCAGTGAGGCTAATCCGAACAGAACATCAGCTCAGATCGGTGTCTAAACATCCCAGTACGACATATACAACCCATCATGTTGCACATTGCATGTCACACCCCTTACACAAACAGAGAGAAAAAGAAAGATAGAATAAAAACAAGGCCAAGTCCAATCATTTTCCAAATCCACCCTATTATTAAAACAAAATCAAACTCATCAGTGACTTTTCAAAGGGAACACAATTCGCTGGCTGTTCTGGTCGGATGCAAACAATCTATCAGGCTGACAACTCACTGCAGCAACGGCCTGTTTAAACTGAGCATCATATCAGTTCAGGCAGGCCACAAAATTCAACTAAGCCCACAGTTCATCAGCTGATCTTACTGCCAGTAAACATCAGCCGACAGCTAATTACCCTCCAATTGGCAACAGTCAAAATGGGTGCTCTGTTTAAGCTGCTTTGGCTTGTCCTATTTCCCCCGGCCTCCTCCACAAACCGCGTCCACCGCAGCTCCTCACTTTTACATCCTCAGTCCGATTTGATCAGAGCCGTATCTGTTCTATTCACCGATCTCTTTGCTGCTGCTCTCCCTGTGCACACATGCGTAGAAAGGGAGGTGTGCTCGCCCTGCCTCAGGCTTCTGAAACTCCCACTTTCAACGCAATTCAGCTGTGATGGTACACGTCTGTACTGGAGGATTATCAATCATTCTCCCTGCATGTTGGCTTGGCCCAAAAACATATACTTACTTTATTTACTACTCCCTACTCTCTCTTTGCAGAAGACTAAACAGTCAGCACATCAGAATTGCTGCTGATACAAAATAAAAACATGAAGATTAACGTCAGACTGGATCGGTCATACAAAACAGCTATCATTAGGAGCTCATTTTTATAAACAATAAAGTATAATAAGAAAATGTCAAATAATGCAACCATAAACTGTACCAGTTACTTATCTCATGCATACAAACGATGGTGTCATGCCTGTCACCAAAAAGCAAACCAGGAGCACACTCCAAACAAACTCCCTCCGTTCTCCCTCTTGCCTGTCATCATCTTTAAAAAACAGTTACAAAATGAAAAATAATACATTTTAACAGCTTGAATTCAGTAAAAATCCCCACAAGACCGCACATTCCCTTTGTGGAGCACTATACAGTGAGTAATAGGTGACTTCAGAAACAGCTTCAGTGTTCTGATGATGTTTAAGCGGGAATGTTGTCAATCCTCAAGGCCTGCCATAGGTTTTCAATTTGATTGAGATCTTGTGACTGAGAAGAGCAACATATGATTCACATCATTTTCCAAATCATGAAACCACTCGGGCGTCCTTTGTGCGTGGTATGGCAGCATCTGCATCCATGATGTTTTCCTCGCTATTGTCTCTTTAATTCGTCACTTGTTTGTATATATAATGATTTTCTCTCCACCACTGAAACAGCTATCAGAATGTCTGTATAGTAGCCGCCATTGTGACTCCCTATTTGTACTGTCCCTTGTCATCTGTCAGTGGTCTCTGTAAAACACTTCAGGCTCTCAAGTCTGATCCCCTCCCCTTTTTAAACAACCTATTTATCCTTCCTTGTTGAGGTACAGGGATTTGAAGCTGAACACCACATGAAACACCCAGCCGGGTAAACAAAAGATTTATGAGACTCTGCAGGAGAGAAAAGGGGCTTTTTTCCCTCAGCTCGCTGCAGCTAACCCCAAACCACCAAAGTCCTAAATGTAACTTACCCCCTTGCGCCTTCAAACCACTAGCTGGTAGTACCCAACCACTTTCTTTAAAAAAAAACAAACAAGCCAGGAATCTTTGCATGGATTCATAACTGTACGGTGCATGATGTTTTGGGCTTGTACAGGTACTAAATATGAAGAAAAATACAAACAGAGCCATGAAGCCATTATCAAACAATAATTTGCTCTTCTATAGATTTGTCAAAGACCGTCCACAAAACCCAATCCCTAGATTTGGAGTGCATCAACAAATAGGCTCTTACCATTACCACACACCCTGATGCTGCAGTACTCCCACAGAGTTTTGGGATCCATGGTGTAGCACCAGGGACGAAGACGGTTATCAGGGTTACGACAGTAGTTGTCCTTTAAATCTTTGTCCCGATACCTGGGAGAGAGCACCGAGAAGACAAAAGGGAGGGAAAAAAATAAGAGGGGGAAATAAGTCGTAACAACTGGTGAGGTCTCTGTCCCATGAGTATTAGTGTAATTTCTTTAAGCATCTGTCATGGGTGTGTTCATGAGAAAGGTTATTGTAAAGTAATTATGAGCTTTGCAGCTTACTTTTTGGGCTGGAAGTGGTGTTTGTGAGGCCTTGTGGAGTCCCATCGCTGGCACTCTTTACCACTCTCTGTATGGTCCACTTTGCCCTGGTAATTTTCCCCATTACATGTCATACAGACCTCTGCCAACAAGAACAAAACAATAGTAATCAGAGCTTTCCTAACATAATTGATAAACATAGACAGAACTTGTAACTTGGACAACCCTACCCCAAACAGTAAACAGCACAAATAATTTGATTTTTGGACTCATAAAAACAGGACTGGACCATCTTTTGAAGTAATTGTAATTTAACTTTAATAAATCTGGATTGAGATAAGTGTCGAGGACAGCACCAAGACTTCTAACAATGGGCTTTGGATTGGGTAATAGGGTACCCCCTTTCCCACGAAAGCTCTTCCCCCTGTTTTTACTTCTCTCATGAAACAAGGGGAATATGGGGAGGTAGAGCAAAAAGCCTTTCCTAGCAGGGTAAGCTCCAGCCTAAACCAGCTTCCCTCCTTGATCCTGCCTTACCTGTACTCTTTCTAGCATGTCTATAAGGAATTGATCCTCCATTCTCTCTCTCCTATCTCTTTTCTTTCCACAATGAGATCTAGGAGAAGAGGGAGGTAGAGCATACAGCATAACCTGGTGGGCGTTAGCTGAAATCTATACAGATTGCCCATCCAGGATCTGCCTTCCCCAACTTTACTTAAGTCTTTCAAAACACGCTCATCTATTTTTTTCTCACCTCTCCTCTTTTCCTTCATGAAAATAGAAATGATAGGTGAGGTAGAGCATGCAGGATTATCTTTTGGGCAAAACTCTTGCCCAACAGGCTTCTGACTCTGTCTTCCCTGTCTGCTTTCTAGCACATCTCAACAGACTTCTTTCTCTGATAGTTCTCTCTTCTCTCCACCCTCTATCATGACAACTGGGGAGGTAGAGCATGCAGCACAACCTGACATGATAAGCCCTCTCCCAATCAGGGCTCTACTCCAGGCCCTACCTTTCCTCAGCTTATAACAAGTCATGCCAGGCTTCTTTCTCAGTTTTCGCCCTTTGCTCCTCTTTTTTAAATGATATGTATATGTACGGGGAGGTAGAGCATATAGCATGACCTGGTGGGTTGAATGCTTACCATACAGACTTTGGTTCTGACTTCCCTTTCCTCTTTCTAACATGTCTTTACAAACTTTGTTTTCTATTTTTTCTGTCCTTTCTTTGATAATAAAAATTGGTCACAGGGGAAGGTAAAGCATGCAGGACTATCTTTTGGGCTGAACTGTTGTCCAACAGGCTTCTGACTCTGTCTTCCCTGTCCTCTTTATGGCAGATCTCTACAGACTTCTTTCTCTGATCGTTCTCTCTTCTTTCCACCCACTACCATGACGATTAGGGAGGCGGAGCATGCGGCACAACCTGACATGATAAGCCCTTTCTCAATCAGGCCTCTACTGCAGGCCCTACCTTTACTCAGCTCAGAACAAGTCACACCAGACTTCTTTCTCAGTTTTCACCCTTTGCTCCTCTCTTTCTTAAATGACAAACTTTGTTCTCTGTTTTCCTGTCCTTTCTTTGGTAATAAAAATCGAGTGTAGGGGGAGGTAGAGCATGCAGCCTAACCTAGCATCCTAGCTCTTCCCCAAAGCAGCTTCTTGCTCTAGCTACACATTTGCTGCACTCTTGGTAAAATACCTCTTTAAACCCCTCTCTGTTCTCTGTTTTTATCTCTCCTTTCTTCTGTCATGGTTTTGGGACGCTGGGGCAAACTGTTGAGCCGTCACTGCCCTTGCACTTCTGTGGTTAGAGTGTGGAGACTAAGAGGGGCTTGGGTTAAGGTAGGTATTAGCATTATCAAAAAGAGTCTGGCTCTTTTGATTGTGGCAATGCTGTTTTGGTTGTAGTGGCCACTGAGTGCTATTTGATGGACAATGTCACTGATTAGTGGAGTAAAAGCACTGGGATGGGGGCACAGTAGGAGGTCCTCACTGAGCTCTTAACCTCTCCATGAGGGCACGAGTATCTTGTGTTAATTTAGAAACAAGCTGAGGGTTTAGGAGTGTGGTTTTCTATTGTTTTCATCTGGCTAAAAAAGTCCACCAGTCAGAATTGAGCTTGTTTTAGGCCTAGGATTTGATGGTGTAAGCTTCAGTATCAAGCAAAGGGTCAATATTAAGAGGGAAAAATTGGTAAATCGTTTTTGTCTGAGTTATATATGAGCACAATATTATAACTTAAGAATGACATTTGGGAGAGTCTTACCCTCAGAGCACTTCGGTATGCCACACTCCTCAGCCCTTACATTAGGGTCAGTGGTGTAGCACCACGGACCACCAGGATCGTTGTTAGGATTCCGACAGAAGTTCTCCCTCAGGTCTTGCACCGGGTACCTATCAGGATAAAACCTACAGGGGAGTGGACACACATTATTGAAAGTGTTAGCTGATACTGTAAGCTGTATAAATAAATTTTAGGGAGTACTTGCACACTTGGCTGCCTCTGTTCTGTATACAGCGCTGTACCTGCCTGCTAGCGCTCTCAGTAACAAGCCAAACTCATTCAAAAGGCATTTATATTCAGATATGGGCTCCATTCTGAGAAAAGGTTGCTCCAGTAGATTACATTTGAAATCCCAGAATGACCATTCAAAGAAACTGTATGCAAAGTATGTCATTAATACACTTCTGCTCTCTAGGTTTGCACCTTTTGCATGATCGCCTTACTGACTCCTACCATATCCCAGCTCCCTCATGTATGACACGGCCAGACTCTGTCACAGCACAGTAACCACCAACAGCACAGAACAATGCTATACACCACTGGGAGCAACCCAAGCAGGTCGTTTTCTGGCAAACTTTGAACACTTTTAAACCCAATCCCTCTCTGTCAAGGGTTGCATCACATCAGCGTGAACAAGCGACTATAAGAAAAAGAACCTGGCGAGTACAAACATATGGAATGTAACAATAGGGGGGGGCGCCATGGGAGCCCCACACTAAATGGACAGTGTGTGAAATTCATCTTTTGCTGGGGGAAGGATGATGAAAAGCTGGCATGTCAGCACCCCTGTGATCCATGCTGACCACATTCCACCTCCCACCCAAGGAGTCAGAGACAGAAGACAGAAGAGAAAGCAGAGGGCGTGGAAGGAGGAAAGAAACAAGTGAAGAGGCAGCTCCTATCAGGAAAAGCTGGCTCAGAGTTAAAAGGAAAAAAGGAGAAAAGATTTGTGTTTTATTGATGAAATAGAAGTACGAAAAACAGCGGCAAAAAGAACCAGAGTTCACTCCCCTTCAGCAACTCGACCCCAGACAATGACTCTTTTCCTGGGGGAGTCTGCTCCGCTCTCCCCTCTGTGCCCTTGGGCTTACTTTAGGCCTGTACACTAATGCACATCATCATTCACCCCAAAGTAGAACACATCTCAGGCATCTGACTTTGCAGAAAAAGAACAAACCAATAGGAGGCTACATATCATAGTCCCACCTTTGGAAAAAACAGGACTCCGTTAAGATAAACAGCAACACCTCACTGTGACACAACAAAAAAAGACATTAACTCTCTTTTTCGCTGAAGCACACATCTGCTGCTCGGCATACCAAGTCTCGAACATCGTACAGTATCCTTAATTTATAAATGGCATTACAAGGTTTTTCACTTAAAATAAAAGTTGCATCTGGTCAGAGTCCGTAAAAAGGCCGCGGCATGGGAGCGAGTTAGCAATAATGATGTTGCACTAACAGATGTTGGCCAGTTATTCATCTCCTTGCCAAAGCCTGTTCCCATCGGAGTGCAGGCAGACACTGTGCACACATGCTCCGCTCCCTGGGTCGGCGAAAAAACATATTGGCCAGATTTTGGATATCACAGAAGTTGAAACTTAGAGTTGAAGTAACTGCTGTAAAATGTCAAGCATCTTGCACCTGGAGATTATGGAACAAACACGGTCATGCATCACTGCTGTGCATCCACACGAAAAAATTATTAGCAGATTAAAGCAAGCACGCAGGAACTTAATTAGTCTTAAGGCATAATAATGATTTTTGGATGAAGGATGCTGAAGTGGGAGCAATTGTTTTAAAATTTTGAACATATGCTTGTTTACTTTCTTGCCAAGAGGGATGTGGAGAGCTTCGTTTTCTGATAGCTAAATATGAAAACATTGCTGGGATATGACTAGCTTCATTTTGCTGTGTGAAGAAACAGTAGAAAACCAGTCTGGTTCCCTCTAAAGGTAACAAAACACCAAGCTGATTCACTAAATCAATGCTATCAGTCAAGTTATGCTGGCATTCAGGGAAGAAAGTATATTTACTTGTGCTACTGGAGCTAAAAAGGTTTTTGTGTGTGTTTGTTCCTGACTGAAGAGCTTTTTTAAAAAAGTACATTTACTTTTACCTCATTATTTTTGTACTTCACTACATTTGGCCAAATCAGTATAAGATCATCTAAAAGTGTACAGATTTATTCAACTCAAACCTGCTGAATGGATGTCTATACTGAAAAAAAAAACCCTCAAATCTAAGCAAGTGAGTTTCTCTAATTTCACGTCAGAATATCTATTACACCTAATTGAAGTTACATGGATACATTTGACCAAGTATAAATTTTGTTACTAAACATTTCAAGCTAAATTTTTTCTATAAGTTCCTTGGAATAAGCGTATTTGAAGAAACTCATCATAAAAATTGTATTGCACTGCAGCAATTTCTTTTCATTTTAACCTGCTAAGTCCTTGATTTTGGTTAATCCTCTCTGCAGAGCCAGCCAGGACTTCAGCGTGCAGGAATCGTCTTGCCAGACTTACACATTGTGTGAGTGGTGGTGGATGTAGTGTTAAGAGTAGCATGGAGTTTGAATCCATTTTCTCCTGTTTCCTCACTGCATGATCAGAGAGAGCATCCAGAATGTTGCGAGGGAGCCGATCAAAGACCAGAATATTATTTTTAAAGAATAAGCTTACATCTCCGGTAGCCCCAGCGGCAGCTAACATCTCCGGGCTGCAATATATTTTTATGTAGGATGATAGGGAAAAGTCCCGCCTCCTTTGCCTCTGATTGGCTAGAAAAGCTGGAAATGTAATCACACACTCAGGTTTAACACGGGCTGTCGGCTCTGTACATTGAACAGAACATTATCACACTTCTGAATCTCCTAACCCTAACCCTAACCCGACAAACGGTGACGTTTCACAGCCATATTATTTATTAGCATCTTTGTTTTGTTTTAGTGAAATTAAACAAGTGGTATATGTTGTACTGCCCAATGACTAACAAACGCTGACAAACGCTAACAACAACTGACAACAGCTAACACTAGGTGTCCATCTTGGTTTTCTGATTTTTTTACTGGAACGCCAGTAAAACGCCCTCAACTCGGGTGTAACATCATTCCCGACTCTGACATCCGACTTCTAAGGTAACTGGAACGCAGCCCACCACTCCCACAACAATGGATTAATTAGATCTGCAGACAGGTAGTCTTAATCTGCTTAAATCTCCTGTGAGGAACTTTTGGTTTGTGTCAAGTTTGGCACCCCCTGTGGTCAAAACAGTCTAATCATGTTTTGCATATCCTATTCACTTAAAGGCCAAATGTATCAGTTATTGAGTTATTGTGAACTGAATTGTAAAAACAGGGCTGTTTCAGCTGTTTTATTGACACCTACCCCCTCACACTAAATTTAGACATTATGAATTAAGATATAAGATATTGCGAATCATCTTGTTCCCTTTTGTAGATAATAATTAGGCTTTCACATGGATTTAAGTCTACTTCATAAACATCAAAGAACCTCTTACAGGAGGATTAAATAAATGACGTTAAAGTCACCATACTTTCATTGGAGTAGAATAATTTTATGCTCTTTAAACCTTTGTTCCTCCCCCTGCTATTTCACCCTTTCTGCTGGGCTAAGCTCACCAGCTGTTGGGGGAAAAAACAGATTTAACATGCATGTATGAGAACGGTGTGACATTTTTCATCGGCCTCACCTGCCTGAATGTGTAGAAGAATAAAAGATGGCCCCTACGGTATTTGTTATTATTCATATGTACAGAAATGTTCCATTCCATTTCATTCGCCACACTTGGCTGGACATCCATCCACAGCTCTTTTCACCACAGTTCAAACACTAAATATAGACAACAGGTGGAAGTCCCATTCCTGGAAGGGAACCTCCTGAGAAATCACCCCTGCCCCACGGTGATCAGTCGAGCATGAAAATAATAGTTACCTGAAACTCAAACAGTGCGTGGTTCATTACGGCGGTAATTCTCACACAGCGGGACGGTCCCATGTTGGGTAACCTCGCAGTGGCACTAAATCTCCCTTAAGTAAAGCTCCCTCTGACCCTTGGAAAGTTAAAAGTTGCCGACCAGCTGGAGCGATGTGGATGGATGCTACATTTGCCGTATGGGACTGAAACTGTGAGTCAAATAAACAATGACAAAGTATTGTCTAGCGCTAATTCTTAAAAGAGAAGAAGAAGAGGGGGAGAGGAAAAAAAGAGGACCATGACCAGCAATGCAAAGTGATTTAATTAAGGAGGATTACTGGAATTTTTTATGGCTTTTTTAATTTTTTTTTTTAACTCAGCTGGAAAACAGACAGAAATGTCTTCAAGCTAGAAAACTTTGCTCTTCCTTTGTTTCATTCAACCTTCCCGACCATTTTTCGCCCTACACTTCTTGAAATTTTTACAGCTCTGTCTCTCAAACCCCCTTCAGAGCTGCAGTTAAAATATCTTGTGACTAACGAGCCCCGCTAATGAGACCCTGGCACAGAACCATCATCAGAAAATTCACTGATCTCTCCTAGCGTGGAGCCTCTGGAAGAAAAAAATAAAATCCTGGGATACACCTGATGGCCTACAGTGCAGCATGAAAAAAAACAACCTCTGCAGAGAGGACATCCCTGCATGTGTTGAAAGAAATCTGACTTAACTCTGGCTAAACATTCGCTCGCCTCCCAGCCTCCACCGTCCCTTAACCCCTGAGGTGCAGCAGGATGATGTGAACATCAATAAATCAGCTGCCGAGGTCTGTTCAATATCAGACACAGAGACAAAGCAAAGGAGCATCCAGGAAGGTGGTGCAGACTGAAGATTAAAGAAGCAGGCTTTGATGGCTGCTGGTTCAAATCTAGAGGAACCTGACGAGACAGGGATGGATGAATAAAACTTTCCACTTCCTGCACCTCACAGCTTAAACTGGCCACACGTGAGACGGTTTTAGGCCAGATACGGGGCATGTCCTGATACAAGACTTGGAATTGATTATGGACACCAGGCAGTCTTTGAGTGTTTGGTATCAATATAACGTATTTACTGCACCAGGCCAAGTTAGAGCCTCCCCAAAGTGGTATCATAAATGTAAAACGTTGGTATTTACACTTCCAGGGGCCTGCACCAGGATGCAGGATTTGCTCTTATCAAGGCTATTTCATAAAGTGTCAGCGGCATGATACCTTCAGAACAAGAGACTAAAAATAAGTGTTCCTATTTCTTTGTAGTACATTTCTGTATTCAACTTTATAGTCTCCATATTGCTCCCCTGGATATCATCAAAGCTGTGGCAAACATACCTCTACAACTGTCATACATGCCAAAGAATAAATCAGAGCAACAACAAGTTTAGAGGATAAAAGGGAGGTACTATTGTCTGATCTTTCTGCACCAATGATAGGAAAGTGATATTTGCAAGTCCTTTTTTGCAAATTTACTGCGGACGTTTTCTCTTATCTGTCAGCTCTATCAACGATTGCAAATGCAGCTGTGAAGATATTAGTCTGGATTATGTTGTTCTGTCATAGTCTATTAGTAAAACTGTTTGCTTCATGGTTTAAATCTATGAAGATGTACTGATAGATAACTCACTCCTGTTTCTGATTGTGTCGAACAATGCCCTATTCTTGTGAACACACTCTCAGTAACTCTAGGATGACCCTAACCGACTTTGTGGGACCATTTAGCATGATCTCTTCTCGCAGGATTAGTGAAGCCAGATAAGTAGAGGATACTGAAGTAAGTTGAACTTGCTTGATAGTATGGAACCCAGTTTGGACTGGAGAAACCAATGGGAGAAGCGCACAAGGAAGCATAACCAACCGGACGTCGCGTGCTTGCACAGCTCACAAGCTTTGGCCATTCAAATATGTACAGATTGAGTAAGCAATTTTATTTGTGTAAGGTAGAAAAAGAACTTTGAGAAAGGAGGACTTACGTGTGTTCATTGATATTGTTATCTGACCAAGCTTGGCAGGTGATGTTTGACTTGGTCCATGACCTCCTGCCTCTGTAGTTGTCTTTGGTGCCGATGATACACTCCCTTATGTAATCTAAGTAAAAGCAGAGGCATAAAAAACAATTAAAAAGATCCATTCATGTTTTTTTTTTCTTTTTTGTAACACAAGCTGTCCCTGTATACTCCTTGTGTGCCAATTTACACAGCAGTAAGTTAATTAAATGCTGATTTGTGTTCTCCGGCCTAACCACCTGGAGTATATTTTCCCATCTATGGTCAATAAGTCGTTTTTACAGCCATCGCTTTATTATGTACCGGCTTGTGTGTTATTCCCAAAACAGACAACTCCCTGAAGTTCATTAAATGTCACCGGGGGGAGTTTCCGTAAATTTTGCAGTAAATTCTAAAGTGCTAGATTCCACAGCCTGCAGTGGAGAAAAGCTGTTGCACTCCGTCTGTAAACAATGAGTTTTTTTGTTTACACTCCACTTAAATCTGCTACATGTTTATGCACGCGCCTCTCCGCGCTGACTGATTAAACAGCAGGGGGTGAAGGGGGCTGGTTGTTTTTATTGTGTCAACAGAAACCTGAGGACCTTAAAAACCCCGGGAGCCAGATGCAAGAAGCCCAACCTGTGATCCCCCGAAAATATTTGCCCGTGCAAATCCCTCCCTGCACCTGAATCTTCTCGTTAGATAAACAGGAGTTCAAAAAGTCAACTTCAAGAGCCTAAAATTAGATGTATTTACCTTTTCTTTCATACAAAGTAAAGTTGGCATTGGCCTGCTTCTGAACACCGTGGGTGAAACGGTCAAAGGGAAGCAAGTGGCATTTCCTGTTGTGCCGTTGAAAGTTGAAAGCCCTGTGGAGACACACGGGAAGTAGTTGAGAGATGACCTCATGATAAACACCAAAAATATGTAAATACTTCATCTGTCCAGGAAAAGAGGAATGAAAGGAACATGGCCATGAAGAAATTTCAGAGGAGAACATCAGGAGAAACAGAAAAGGAAAGTGCTCCTCACCTGCAGCTGAAGTTTTTCTTGACTTTCTTGCACTTGCGGGCGCAGTGTTCCTGCGACCGGCTGCTTCGTACCATCGTCCGCTGAGGACAGTCCCTACAAACCAGCATGTGATGCTCAGTCTTTTCATACTTCTGTAATGACTGATGAGTCCTTCTGCAAAATCCTGCAGGAACAAGGTCAAGACATAAGAATGACTATCTACAGGTTGTTGGCAGGGATTGGGAATGAATGTCATTCAAATGTAGACTTACCCGATGTGGTGCTAAATAACAAAATTTGGCAACATAACACTTAACTTTTGTTTCATTTAAAAGCTTTCAAGTTTAACACTGATGTCAACCATCCATCTCATATAGTGGGAACTCTATGTATATGAATTGGCCATTCGGTGACGACTATCAATCAATACGTGACGTTGTTGCCGAGTCCTCACCCCAAGAAGACAGTTTTAAATTATCTTTGAGTGTCACTCTTTCAAAGAAACCACACAAAAGACGTCCAAGCACGCATGTTGTTGGGCACAAACCATTTCATGTCAAAACTCCCAGTTCAGTTCGACTGAAACTCTCAAGTAACAGTGTTATTTCATCTGTCATGAAGAGGCAAATATACGTACAAGAAAGTCTGGTAAAACACATGGATTTCTCCACTGACAGAGCATCAAACATTAGTCACACACTGCTAAGACATAGCCAAACACTTCACTGCTGCTGTCGAGGCGCTGGGAATGAAGCTGAAGTTGTCAAATCAATTAAAATATTTCACTGAGTTTTCACCTTGTGGTTTAAATATTAAAGCAGCAGGAGGCATGACTGCTGGTTGCAGGGTCTTGGCAGTTAAGATTAAATGATTTCGCTGTCTTAAAATCAATTGGGTGGCCAGCAGTTAATAAAATCATCTCCGAACTACATTTTTCTTCATTTTTTCCATGTTGACACGCTAGTATCCCCTGTGCTAAGTCACACTGAAACATCACTGGACAGGTTTAACAGCTTGAGTCTCGAACGTTTCCTGTAAGGGAACCTCACCGCCATGATCCAACTTTTTAAACGGTTTAAAAGTGCAAAATCTCATAAATCAATACCAGCAGTTTTGGCATCCAAATCTTTTTTTTAGCAAGCTTACATTATCATTAGCTAGAAACCTCATCATCTGGAGGTGATGAAACGATTACAACACATCCGAGACCCTTCGGTGACTCATTTCGTAAACCTCTCACTTCCTGACGTGGCATCGTAACAAAATCCGAGCTCCCCACGCCAAGCCCCGTCTGTGCGAAAAAATGGCGGCTGTTTGGGAAGGTTGAATTGTAAGAACATTTTGTGATACTGAGCTTTGCACGTACTGGCTGAACCCAAGTAGCAGACCAGTTAAAGTGTCAGAAAACAAATATGAATTGTGTCAAGGATCAAAGCCTAGCTTAAATGTTGCCTGACAAATGAAGAGTTGATGCCGAACCGCGAGGGCGGCCAAAAAAACAGAATGATGTCTATCCAACAGACTGCTGCGCTCCAGTGCCTCCTTTGGAGGTTTGGTATTCATGAAAGCATATCTCATGTTTCAACATTTTAAAAAAAAGAGCCGAACAAATACTTTCGTCAACATCTTTTACTACTTTCTTCGTCTTCGTCTTTAGTCGATATATTTACTGCACATCTGTGATACCCACAAAATGTTTTTTCTGTATCTTGCATTCAAGACTCTTCAACAGTCACGAAATTCTTATTCAAACTCCTGCTGTTTAATTGCACTCACGGTGAGTCTGTTTCTGTAATCTAGGCTACAAGGGCAGAATTTAGTGTTTAAGGGAAATGAAGAGGATGTAAAAGGGGATGTTTTAATGACAGCTCTTAGGGCAGTACAGCTCTTGGTATCTAACACACTCTAGACAACATACTGAACTTGTCAAATGCCTCCAGCTTTCAACGTTTCGAAGAGTTACGAAGAAATAATCTATTCAGGGGGATCTGCTGAGAGACAGTTTTTTGGAAGGGGCGCATCAAAAGAAATGTATTATTTAGAAGACATGATGTGTATGTGTCCAAAGAGGGTTCGAAAGCAGGACAAAACCATAATTTACGTCAAAATCCTCTGCTGTACGAATCAATCATTTCTACCTTGTGGAAAAGATAAGAGCCTGTTCTTCAACACGATGGGGCTCCATGGTGAAAATGCTGTTTCAGAGGTCTACAAAAACATCTTAAGGCGCAATATGTGTTTAGTTACAATACTTTTCCGTTTGTAATTAGGGGCAAGTGGGATATAAATCACACGGGGAAATCTTATGCTACTGAGTTACAGCTACACGCTCCTGCGCCAAGATCCGACACCAGGACGTCGTGTGTGTACTTAGGATATTGTAAACTGTGCGGCGTTTAGAGGGTCCTCGTGGTTGAAAATGGTTTTTTGAGGAGAACGTGTTATTAATGTTTGGGCTCCGTTGGACCACATCTGGCACTCATCACGGTGTTGTTCCAGCCCTGATGTCTGGCCAGGCCACTCAATTAGATTTCACTTAAGTCTCTTCCTCTCCTCGACGTCCGACTCCTGCTATCTCCAGATCCTGGGCATTTCGCTGAAGTTGGAGATTACAATAAAATGTGCTTGATAGGCAGCTTTAAGAGAGATGAGATTTAATGGAAAGAGACAGGGGGAGCTTACAAGGAACAGGTTTGAGACCTGTGGTTTGGCTTGAAAAATGTAGCGAGGGAAGGCGAGTGACCGAAACTCTCACCTTCCTCTGAAACTTCCACTTCGGTGCCCTTGAGCAAAGAACTTCAGGGTCAGCTGAAAAAGAATTGAAGTCTTGCGGAAATGCTTTAATACTACATTTTAATACATTATTTGAAAAAGGTGGTATTAAGCGAACAACAGGACCGTAGGGGGGTAAAGGTGTGCTCTGTCTGGGAATTAAGCAGACATTACATCTGCTTCAGAGAGCGCAAAGTGTGGACTCAGACTCAACCAGATGTTACCCCTTCACCCCCCACCCTCAGTCCCTCTTACACAGACACACACGCACTTTTCTATCTCTCTGCTGGGACACAAGAGCATTTTACTTTCCCCAACTCCAGGGCAGGTCAAAGGTCAGGGTCGGCACCCTTGGAGGTGGTAACTACGGATTCAGTGCTTGAGTCCGTGACATGTCAGCGGGGCGGATGTGAACTGGCACACTTTGAAATAACAAATAATCTGCGTTTTAAATGAATGCGCTGCAATGTTTCAATAACCGGCGGTTGTTGATGCGTTTATGCGCTGCAATGTTACAAGCAGACGTGCGCTGCCTCCAGAAAACAGTCCAACAGATGCAGGAGTCTCTGGGGCTCCTATCACCATGACCCATATAAAAAGGTTTAATGTCAAAGTAGTAAGATCAGCAGATGCACTTCAAAACGTGCGCTTTGGCAGGAGTTTGTACCTTTAGGCAGCTGGAGAGGCACAGACTTCATTCAGGATAATGAAACTTTTAATTCAATCAGTTCACAAAACAAAATGAAAGAATTTTATAGTGAGGCTATGTAATTAGGATCTGTGTTTTTTACAGCCAAAGATGCACTGTAATAAAGTCACTACTACAATTATTTGTTGACAGGCTCTCCTAAAAAATAGCCTCAAGTATGTTCTCTCACAAACCTCAATTATTAGTGTGTTTACTTTGAGAGAGAGCGCCAAATCCACAGTACAAGATGAGGCTTGTAATCAAGTTCATTCAATGCCCATCTGCGTCATGTACAGTCATTAAATACACTTTAAACAGGAAAGTGCATCTTTAATATGTCAATAGGTTTAAAACAAGTCCCGACGGATTAAAGCAGATTAAACACATAAAAATGTTTTTTTTTTTACTCTAATTTTAAAACTTGTTTCATTTATTTTAGCAGGACCCGCATTTTGTGTGGCTGCTGCAGGTGGTTAAAGCAGATCTCAGATAAAAGCTTCTCGTTTCTTACCTGTGTCCATTATAGTGACCACAACACACACCAGAGCTTGGTAAATCCACACGTTTGTCCTCATGGTTTTGATCAGGATAGAATCCGGATTAAGTAAAAAGGACTCGGTGTTTGTATGAAGTCCAGAGTGTCTGTAAAGCAGCTGAAGACTTCCTCACTCAGATGCCACTTTGCCAGCAAACCACACGTCCTCGGTTCAACCCCCCCACTTAACTTGAGTTTAAGCTCCTCTCTATCAGCGTCTCACCTCTACACTGTCAAGTGCACTCAGTTAAATAGGGCAGCTTCCGGTTGTGACTTTCAAAATAAAACAGGATGTGAGTAATATCAGTAGGATCAAAGTCTCATGATGTTTATATCTTTTCTTTTGTCAGCATATCATATAAAATTAATGTGCATTACTCATACCCGCCTTTTTCTTTGTTAAAGGAGTCATGCTAACAGATTTCATGGGAAACACATTTTTCCAATAAATTTGACTCATGATTAAAAAATACAAGGTGTTTGGCTGCTTATGAGGAGTTTCCTGCTTTATAGTGCCAGGACTAATCTGTTTTACACATTCAGCAGAATTGTACTTATTTTGGGGGCAATTTTATTAAGTAGAAACATTTAGAAGCTATTTGCAATAAAGAACAAACAAACAAACAAAATAAACATCTTTTACCATTAACATGAACTAAAAATAAAGAACGTAAAAATGAAACTGAGTTAACAAAACAGCTTAATTAGAAAAAAAAACATAGAGCAAAGGAGTTTAAAGAATTATTTCATTATCATAGTTAAGATAATTTTTAATTTTATGTCTTAGTTATATTTTTTGACTCTTCTTTTTCTCTCTCTCTCTCTCTTTGGTTCTCTTCCTTATCCCTACTCCATTTCCCCTTCTCTTTTTCTTCTATCTTTTCTTTTTTTTGTAATAATATTTATTTATGAGTGTTAAAAAAAAGAAAAAAAATGCTGGCTGAAATAGACAAGTAAAGGAAACTTGTAATATGCTTTGTATGAAATGAACATGTATGTAATGAATGAGCCTGCAATAAAGTATTAAAAAAAGAACTATTTCATACAAACACCGAGCATTATGTGGATAAAAAATCTCTTTTACGGTTTTTTATCTGAATGCTTTACACCAGCAGATGGCAGCACATAAGGCCATGCATCAGTGTTTCTGGTATGTTCTTGTCTGGCTTACAAATCAAAACCAATTGGCAACAATGAAGCAAATGTAAAAGTGCCAAAAGGTGCAGTTCCTCAAGTGTCCACTTGAGGCTGGCCCTACAGGCATCACAATCCACATACACACTTATTCAAAAAAGCCTGCCTCCCATATTACTAGATTAGATTAGACAAGATCCAACTTTATTTATCCTTTTGGGAAGGTTCTTTCAAGGAAATTTAAAAATATAATTATACAGTTGTTAGATTAGATTAATTAGACATTATTTTATATTTAATTATATCAGATTGGAAAAAATATATATATCATGAAGCTTTCAAAGGAAACCCATTTTGATAAAAGGCAGGGTTCTTTTTTGTACCTGTAACTGACAAATAAATCCAGATTTAAATTGGAAAACTGTAAATAACAAACATAAATTGTTTGACTAGCTGTCTGGTATATAGTGCCTGGTATATTCACTTTTCCTGAAATGCATTCACTGAATTGCATCCAATGACAGGAGATTTCGAGAAAATTGGGAGACCAAAATCAGCAGGAACATGCAAAGATTTCTAAGACATTAAGAGAAAATATGTACTGACACTGGCACCTGTTCTTATTGGCATTGTGAGTAACCAAGTTTAAATTCCGGCTTTGAGGGGCTGACTCACAATTTCAGACTTATGATATCCAGCAGAATGCTCCAAAACTGCTGTTTCCCTGAGCCTTAAATCCAAGATGATTGCCGCCTGCATTAACAGTAAAACAGCTGTACTTGGAATAGTGCTAATTGGAAACTTAGTCTGGTTTTCTGTAATAAAATTGATTATACTGATAGTACTGTGCAAGTCTTTAGACATTGTGTTGCTTTTGCACACAAACTACTTTGTGGCATGATGATATCATCTGGTATTCATAAGCAATGTGAAAAACAACAAAAGAGGCTAACACCTAAACAACTTTATAACTTGTGCTTACCAGAACGTATTGTTGTGATGTCATCCCAAGCTTGAGAGATACGTGCCCTGTAAGTGACAGGAGGAATGAGGAGAAATTTACTGTTTGGGCTGGATGGAAATAAAGGCCAAAACACCAATGAGAACCCCATCTTTGCAGGGCAAGTTTAAGGTAAAATTAATTTCAAGCCTGTGTCATATTGATGCCTGTCCAAAACAAAAAGGCCCAGTGTACTAACTGAACTTTTCCTGTACGTATTACATTTTGTTTTAACATATTTTTCTTTTAGATGGCTCACAGATTGATTTGCAAGTGTAAGTGTAAGAACAGTATCTGTTCTACTGTGGACTGGCGGGACCATGTACAGACTTTTTGGACTATGGTGGCCCAGCTGAGGCACTACCTTCTGTAGGAGTGGTGAACAAAAAAAAAAAAAAAACATTTATTAATACAATCTTTTTTTTTTTTTTTTACACAAGTTCTGCCTTTGACAAGACTAATGGCCAATCATTGTTTTCAGATTTTTCGACGGCACCTGGGGTGGCCAAGTTGAATTCGAAGTGGGCCAAGCAGACTCTCTGGATACAGCCCTGCTGACCAGAGGGATCTTTTCTGCCTTATCAGTAAGCTGAATAAATGTTTGGATGGGGTGTAGCATTCTTGCTGTGCATGCTTTGGATCCAGAAGCACAATATGTCACCACCCATAGAGGCGGTATTTTGGCTTCACTTCTCACAATGGGAGGAGATGGAGGCGTGCTGTCATCACCAATATACAATCAGTGACCTTGCATAATGGAGATGGCAGTGAAGAATATAATTCAAGCAGAAAAATCTCCCAAAATTACTACAACTTAACTAAAATTTAGAATTCTCATAAAATAAAACCAAAACCCAGCATTGAAAGCTAAATTAAACTTACAGACCATTATAATGCAAAGCTTTGGAGGATTAAAACCAAATGCACAGATGCAAGTTAGTACTGCTTTAGAGATCTGGTTTTATTTTAAAAGTAATGCAATAACAAACAGATTGTGAGAACACTCCTATGGTGTGTTCTCAGTATTTAAGACATTATAAACCTGCGTGGAATAAAAATGGGAACACATGATGATGGTTTTCTGAAGGGACAGCATTTAAAAGGTTTATGGGTTGCAATTAACGGCCTATTTCGAGCACAATAAAGCTTGATGGTACATTTAAAGACAGGATGGGCAGGTTTAAAGAACAAGCATATGTTAGTTAAATAGAAACTTTACCTGGCAATGACTGAGTGGACCTACATCAGGGCTGTGACTGCCACAGATACAAATACTTTTTCGTTTTTCTGTCAGCACATTCGATCAATTTACAGTTGGATTTGAAGAGAATATCACTAGCTTTGATACAAAACACGCTCCTTACCCTTGCTCTAATGACTTTATGAATGACTTGTCTTCACTCACGGGCCAGCCAGTTTTTCAAAGAGGCCATCAAACAGGATCTTCATGACAGGATGATCTTTCTGTCTCTCTTCACTTGCCTCACTTTGGCTCAACTGAGAAGGCAGATGTGATTCTTTACATGCTGCGCCAAAGAGCGCTTGGCCCACGGTAATGATTGCAGCCTCAAAGGAATCGCCAGTTGCAAAATGCCTCACACAGAACCAGACAAAGCACATGAGTATAAAACATACAAAAGTAGCTGAAGTGTCCTTGACCAAGCTGCTGATATCAAGAGGCCCTGGGTTTTTTGATATCAGACAAGTTGGCTTTGAGGTTAATGTGCGTCTGGAAAAAAAAAAAAAAAAAAGAGGAATGTTCTCAGTCTGTCATAGCTTGTAAACTGCCATTTTCTTTGATTTATGCCCTCAATAAAGTGACAAACTGGGACTTGACTGCATAAACCTGATTTAGAGATGCACTCCCATGCCATATCATGAGACAGCATCTTTATACGCACACAGGGTCAGCTGTTCTAATGAAAGTCACGGCATGACAGTGATGAAAAATATCTGTCAGGGACTGAGGGAATATTTGTCCTGCTGTTTGAACAATCCCCCCTGAGAAGGCGAGGTATGGGGGGGAATACAGAGCGCCAAGAGTCTATTTGTGGTTTATTCCAATGGCACTTTTGAGACTGACCTCATACAGCCTCCGTAAGGAATTACAGTAAAAGGAAACTATTGGACGGCATACCCTAGATCAAGCAACTTTATATATGTTGTATCTTTATTGAAGGATAATTACACTGATTGTTGGAGGTTAAAGTGCCATGGAGGTGCAATAACCTCTCTGTAAAGACAACACCACGCACCGCAAACATAGAATAAATCCCAGCAGGGACATGAAGTGTGTGTTTTAGGTGGGGCAGCTGGAAGCGATCCCATTTAGGTACCAGCCTAGAGGACTTTTGTTGGGCCCTAACCCTAACTTGACAGGAAATCCACACTTCAGCCGTTAACGGGCGGCGGGCTTAAAGCCCTCCAGAGACAGAGCCAAAACGGTTTGAGTTGAATGCCAGACGCCTGGCCCTCCCTCATTAAGACGCGTGCGAGTCATTTCATTTTCCTTTGGTCCTTTCTCCTCCTTGTGTGTGCGCAGGAAAGCACCAGCAGGTGTAGGGGTGAGTGTTTGTGTGTGAGTGCAGCTCTTGAGGCATTGGCAGCAGGCAGGGAGGTACAACATGCACCAACACACATCCCACCGGCAACGTCAATCAGTGTCAGCAGGAGGAGGAATTCCAGACTCTCTGAAAAATCAGTCTTGGAGCAAATTTCCGCAGATTGGTACCTTTTGAACCTACATCTCGCCGTGTGCCATATGCTTCACACACTTCAGGTAAATAAGTTAAGTTTGACAGCTGATTATGCATCAAGGGGGAAGATGTTGGAAGTGGGAGTGTGCTTTCATAACACGCCAAAGCAATGGGAGTATAAACTTTCATGATTGATTTTTTTTTTTCACT